TGTGTGTGTGTGTGTGTGTGTGTGTGTGTGTGTGTGTGTGTGTGTGTGTGTGTGTGTGTGTCATCTTATAGCAAAGCCACATCAGGCTATATGCTGTGTCCACCAAGGGGAATCAAACCTCTGATTTTAGTGTTGCAAATCTGAAGACTTACAGTTGACCCACGAGGGGACTTTTCTGTAGGCATCTCATCTTCTCTATCTTATTCACCACCCTTCCAATAAGTATGAAATTTAACATAAATTACTCACTATACATTAGTCATTGCTCAGACAAACCATATTTTTTATAGCTTTCAATTTTATTTGGTTACAGAGCCATCAAATAGAAAATCAGACCCCTCTTGTCACACCCACCTGTCACATCCTCTCTTTCAGGATTTGTTAATAGTTCTCTCTTACACTGAATTCTATATTATTAACAGAAAACCAAGGTGTTCACATATCAAATGGCACATTATATTACGCTGTGTTCTGAACAACCAGTTGTCAATTTCTCTTTAGTACAAGCTTCGTTCACACAGGTATGTATTTTATTTCTTGTTTTTCACGTGTATTCTTTATTATTATAAAATTAACTATAATGTAAAAATTGAGATCTTTATATGTTAGTTCAGGTTAGATTAGGCACATATGCGAGCAGCTCATGGGTAATGTAATTCAGTGGTGTAATGTAGGTTGCACGTTTTCCAAGTGACTTACAACTTATAATGGCATGAACAGTAGTTAGACACAGTTCAAAGGGCGATAAAACAATTTTATTATAAATAGATGTATACTGTTAAGAGTTTAAAGCTACTTAGGATAAACGAATGTAGTTTCATGTTACAACTTGAAGTCACTCTAGAAAGAAAAAGAGGATAATTTAGATTTATTTTGATTTTCTTTTGGTGGTTATAAGGTCGGTCAGCTTGACCAATCTTGTATAGAGTGAGGGTAGAGAAAATAACAGATAAAATATAAAGTTTTACTGAAAACAAACATTTGAAATGTATCTAATAGATTTTAGAGTTTACATAAATGAAATTTGAGATGAAGAAAAGTATTTTTCATCTTAACACGAAAATCTCTTTGCTCATGGACTATTCCAGACAAGTAGTGTTGAAATACTTGATATATTCACAAATATTTTTTTTAGTTGATTAAAAGTACTTCACTAAAAAAATATGATTTTTTGTAAGTGAAAGATTACTGAAAGACTACCAAATTTTGTGAAGATATACACACAATATTAAAAGTTAGTAGTATCAAATCTATAAACACTTTGAACAAGTACAAAGAGGTCACATGGTAGGTCAAATTGTCCGAGACCATATTGAGAGTGTTAAGTACTGAACTAAGTGTCAGTACTTGACTGTAAACAGCCAATGTGGCTTTGTTGTGATAGGCTTTGATTTTATGGTGTATTTTTAAATTGGTCTTATAAAATCAAAACTGCTATCAGGGAGAAATTGTTTCAGAACAAACTACACGAACCCCATTGTAGCAAAGTTGTTGCATATGGCCACGAATAATGAACAGCAGCTTTATATGGGTTTTTGAGAACATTCATTTGCAAACATAGCAAATGCTAAGGTGAACAAGCAATTATCGATTATATGGATAGTATTACAATTCTAGTTGTGTATTATTTATGGTGATAAGGCAAACTTGACTGTTCACCAAGATTAGAATGTGTATTATATTTGAAAAATTATAGTACTTCAATAGATAGTTTTCAAGTCAAATGTCTCTTCATACAGTCACATGGCACAATATTTTCATACACTTGCATGCTATTTCCCATTGCTAATACATAACCTATATATAACTTTATATTCAGTAAGGATAGCAAAATTAGGGATTTTCTTAGTCTAAAACAAACTGATATACCTAACAAAACCTGAAAAATAATTGTGTAAGATGGTTGTACATTCTGAAATTTAATGCAAAATCACAAAGAGCCAATTAGGTTTTACATATAGCTTTCAAAATTGAAATAGCCATTGAATATGCTCCAAGCTAACAATTTACAAAATATATACAGTGCTCCAGATAAGGGGCATACCAGCATAATTCCCAACTAAAAATAAAACACTTATGGTCTTAAAAAAAATATTGAGAGGTTGTTTTACTGTTGTGAAAAAATGAATAGTACTCTTGCAGCTTTAAGAGTAGCACAGTAATTAAAGGTGCATTCTTGGAGCTTTCTGCTGCTCTGCACAGTTCACAAAGTAGCGTTGCAAAAATAAGCACATTCTAACTGCCAGAAGTTTCTATGGTGCACTCGTGAATGATCCAATTTTATCTAAAAAATAAAAGTTTGAAATGATAAAATAATTAATTATTAGTTAAACTACTTCTACAAAATGTTCTGCTGCACTTTGTAAAAAATGTAAAATTACTCCTGCTGACAGAATTCTGGGAGTGCTTACTCTTTAAAGAAAAAACTTATCTGGATCACTAATATATTTATATTACTGTAAACAGGATTTTACTTGTTCCAGTTTTTAGAAATAGATATACTATGATAAAAACAGTACATAAAAACTGTTCTGGGGGATGTAATTATTAAAATTTTATTATCTCCAGATGCAGAACTGTCACAACAGCTGGAAAAAGTTGATATAACTACTTTTATCTTTCAATCCCATCAACAGCAAAATTTATACATGTTTTGAATCTCACCAATTTTCCCTCCCTTTGAGTAGGGAGCCAGCAAGTCAACCACCTTAATCCCTGTAACCAGAATTTCTTGTTCTACACTCATCTCCACAAACTCAGGAGCTTCCTGATGAATAGCAGAATACTTGTCAGTGTTGACTGGGCCTCGCTCATCGATGGGATCGCCTATGACGTTTATGATACGGCCTAAAGTCTCAGGTCCAACAGGGATCTTAATAGGAGACTGAGTGTCAAGAACTTTGTTGCCCCGGACTAAACCTTCTGTTCCATCCATTGCAATAGTACGAACAGTGTTTTCACCTATGAGAGTAATTAGCTAAGTGTTGTTAAAGCTTTCTCCTTTACACAAAAATGAGTCAAAAGAAAAACCAGTTTCTTTCAAGCACAATTTTGATGTTTTTAAATTGATTTTTTAAAAGTATCTATGCACAAAAATCTACCATAAATGATATTACACAAGCTTGTGTACTCTACAACTAAGGTTTCGGTACACATATATTCTCCATTACACTGAGATACTTAAACTTGCACTTGCTAAGAATCATTTAGATACTGTTAGCTAGACTAAGTTCTTTATTTACAAATGTACATGAAACTAAAGATTGTATTAATGAATTTTCAACCTGAGATAGTATTTCAAACAAAATACAGCTTAAATGAGCATTTCATTTTAATCCAATATCTAGAAACTTTAAATAAATTTTAAAATCTACAAAAAACAAATGTTACTGTAATAAACTTTCTCACCTTTAATTGGGACTTACGAAGATCACATCGAATAATGTGTGCAACAATATCATGGGACCACAACCTCATCATGTATTCCATAATAAAAGCAAGTTTACACTAATTTTCTAGCTCTTCTTATCCATAATGATATTTCTCTTCCTCACATTATGTCTTCAATTTTATGTATCAACTGATATTTATTTCAAGTTGTTGACAATTGTTTTTTCATTCAAAAGTCTGTTGATCTACAGGAAAATTCTTGTAAACTTATCACTATTTTAAAAAAACAACAAAGATTTTGGAGACTACAGATCTATTCATCTCTTAGTATTGTTTTTTTTTGTCTCGAGGTTTTGAAAACTTGATATCCAAATTGTAACTTGAAATAAGCTTCCTATAAGTTATGTGGCTCTGTAAAATCTTATCTATATGTGACACTTTTATTAATTCTCAGCTTTAGAAATTTGAAAAGATTTATTTCCTAACTAAATTTTTACAAAATTAAAATTGCTTACTTTTGTTGTAATTTCAATTACAGATTTGTACGTCTCCCTACATATATAGCATGCCAGCTTTAGTTTCTAATAAAAAGGTTTCATTTAATATATTTAATAAGTTTAAAACCTTATATATATATATTAATTTATATATATATTCTATAAACATCTCTTAGGTGTTTTTCTTTGTCAATTCAATCAATTACCTAGGCAGATAAAACTTGGCCCCATTAAAGAACATGGTAATATTTCACTTTATCCTTTAGTACTCTATATTCAAAAACCTACCTAAATGTTGGGCAACTTCCAAAATTAACTTAGGTTTTCGGCCTTGAACCTCCAATGCATTAAGAATGGGTGGCAAGTCATCTTCAAACTGAACATCTACAACAGCACCAATTACTGCTACAATCTTTCCATAGTTTGGGCTTTGTTTTGCTGAAGTAGCTGCTTCTGTTGCATAGTTTTGATCTGAAACAAAATAACAAGGAATTAACATATGTTTATCCAGTTAAATCTTATTTGAACTACCATAAAATATAGATAAGTCACTTAATAGCAATTATATCATGCCCATTAATAAAAATTAGCCAATATAAACTTAATATTTAGGGTTAAGCTGCAAAAATTTGTCAAACATTAATGTATTTCAAATTATAAGTTTCCTCTTACTCAGCTTATTTACAAAAAGTGATATTATAACTGGAGTAATTAAAAACTTGAGTACATACACTATCACAGAAACCTGACTGATCAATTCTCCTTACACCAGTTAAAGTATTTACTTCAATCTTAAATTTTCGAGGTTATATTTAATTCATTTTTGCTCTAATCCCAAAACACTGTAGGAAAAAGAGAGACTACAGTAAATAACTTGAATTTTAATTTTATGATGTTCAAAATGAATATCACTATCATTGATATTAAAAAGAAAAGTCAGGAGGTTGAGATATGGCAAAAGCAATGACGTTTTCTGGCTTTTACAACACAGATCTACAGTTTAATCTAAAAAAACAACAAAGGTGTAATCAATTTTAAAAGTCAAAGTTTTTGCTAAGGGAATAAAATTAAAACAAATTATATTGTTCATTGTCCAAAAAGATGTTTTTTTAAGCAACTGAAATACTTAAAAATTGTGCAAAACTTACTTTACTCTTATTGTATAAAATTGGGATTTTTGTCAGTTTAATTGACACAAATTAAACTGAGAAGAAATGTTTCCTTCATTTCACAATCTACATTTATTAATGTTAGTCGTTTGCTTAAAATATATCAACAAGAACCTTTATATTGATCAAATATTTTGTTTTCCCACACTTAACCTATGTAACATACTGCTCTACACTTCTTAGTACTCTACCATCTGATCCAACAAACTCATATATTTCACTTATTGATATTAACTAAATATTTTAATGCACAATTTCATACTTAAAGCTAACACTCACAAAATTCTAAAGATTTTTATTCCCAATTTTGCAGTAGTAATACGATTATGTGGGTCTTTCATCAGAAATTTTGGATTTTTATTGTTCATCATTCACGTTAACAAATTGGAAAGTTACTAAGGTTGAGATATTTTAAAATTTCCAACAGTAAAATGTTGACTGATTTTATGGTCAATATTCTTTTTAATTAAGTGGACCAAGACAACCTTAATGAGTGATCAAGAGTACAGAAAACAAATTTCAATACAGAGAAGCATAAAGTGAGAACACCACTGGTGTTGTGAAGAAACAGGTCTAAGTGTGGTCTCTTGAGTTTAGTTGTAGTGAAAACAAGTTAACAGATTATAAAAATCTATTCAGAGAAATTTGATTTTGTAAAAAGTATGCCATACTCTTTCACTGTATTAGATGTAAAAAGTGGTTTCCTTAGCATTATTTTTTTTTTATTACTGTTTAGTGAAATTTCTATTTCTAGTTTACTTAGTAATAATTTTCAACCTATAGATACTGGGTTTCATCATACTGTTCATAACGACCATGGAAATTGTAGTACAATAAGATGCTTTTCTTTTTATTACCACTGTCTGGCCACAATAATGTTTATCATATTTTTATAATTCTGTTTCATTAAAAACAATTACTTTCATACAACTGGCTGCAGATAGTGAATGACTGTTTTAAATTTGTAATGTTGTGGATTACATTTGTTCCACAAAACAAGAGGTTTGAAACTTGATTCTCAATATTAAGTATTAAGCTATTTAACACAACTCTCACTTAAACATCTTGAAATATTTTAAAACAACCTGTATCAGTACTGTAATACTTGACTTGTGCAGATCATGTCCAAAATTTACACTTAATGACTACTGAGAATTAAGAATGAAATTAATTGTAAATTAGAAATAGAGCACCATTTCAGTTTTGTGACTAATGAGATAGTGACATTTGTCAAAGCTATTCTTCCAGTAAAAAGAAAGTTATGTATAACTTATAAGGCAACAGAAAAACAGTTGGAACCACTGAAGTAATTTGGTGTTATAATAATACAGCATGCTGCTGTAGTTCTGAACCCATTAACAATGCATACGATAATTGTTTTGTATTGCTTAACATAAAAATGTCACTTTCAATAACCTCTCAGCAACCTTTCCTTTAACTCATACAAAGAAAGTTAAAAACCACTGGAAAGGGTTCAGAGAAGGGCTACTAGGATGATATTAAAAGGTTGTCATATAAGAACAGGTTAATATCCTTAAAATTGTTTTCTGTTTAAAAAAGAAGAGTTAGTGTAGCTCTGATTGAGGTGTTTAAGATTCTTCTTATTAAGGGAACTGATAGGGTCAGTGCATCAGTGCTCCACATAAGGTGTGTACTGGTGTAATTCCTGACCAAAAATCAGTCATTTATGGCCTTAAAAAATATTGAGAAGTTGTTCTACTGAAATGGAAAAATTAATATGGCTCCTGCTACTTTAATGGTAGTACAGTAATTAAATGTGGCATTCTTGTAGCTTTCTCCAGTTCTGCACAGTACACACAGTAGATGTGCAAAAATAAATGTTATTTTCCTAAACTGAAAATGTATTTCCAAACATACTTACCTCCGCTGACACTAATAGCTATTTCTCGATCATCATCTTTGCCATCTAATATTGTGTTCACTTGCTCCAGTCAATATCTAATTTGCAAAACTTTATGCTGGCCCTCACACGCCCTCTACGCAGGTACTGTATATAAGTACTGTATGCAGACAATAAAATCACTTTTTTCGAGACTTACCTCCTTCCAGTCACTAACACTGGCTCTTAGTGGGGAGGAAGGGAGGGAGAGTGTCAGTGGAAGTAAGTATGTTTGGAAATACATTTTCAGTTTAGGAAAATGATAACTTCCAAAACATACATACCTCCACTGACACTAATAGCTAGAATCCCACATTGAGAAGGCAGAGGAGCCAGTGAGGACAGAGATCATACAGAAAGTGTGTGCAGAGAACAAATATGTACCACGAGAAGTGGCATCAAAGTGGGGAACACCGCACTACATCCAGAACGGGTATGCTCTTTGCTCCAAACTACAGAAAATTGAACAGGGTAGAATATAATACAAATATGATGGTCCAACCCCAACCAAACAGCTGAGATTCCACAACACAGGTTGGATTTAAGGAGTCATGGTATCCATATCCCACTTAGAGGGCCAGGGCAGTTGGACTCCAGATATATATCTTTGTGATAGGATCCCTACCAGTAACCACAGAATGATGCATTTCGAAATACTGGATTTATGAAAGAAAGAAAGCAGCAACAAAGTGGATAATCTTTCCGATCAACAAGAAAAGTCCAAAAGGCAACATCCAAGGTCTGGATGCCATACTCCACCAAAGTCCAGAACTCATCCAGTATGGATTTACAAACAATTGTCTTTACTCCCTCACCAAGTGGGTAAGGAGAATTCTGCTTATCCATGGAATTATGGAGAGGGTGTGGAACTCAACACACTGAAGGAAAATCCTCTATCCACTACCCCAGTGACTGGGAACTGGGTGTGGTAAGGGCTCCTGAGCTCCACTAGTAGAAGATAAGCATTGGGAAGTCCTGAGGAACAGGTCTCCAGAGACAGTGCAACAGGTGAACCACATTCCCTAATTTTTAAAAGCAAACTGATCTCGACTGATTCAGCTCTAAGATCAGCAGGGACTGGAAAATCCCTTTCAGCTTTACCCATGATAGTCCATGAGTAGCAGTCCATTAGAAATATTATAACATGATATCACCATCCGGAATTGTGTCCAGATGATCTCATGGAACACCTCATCTCGAAAGAGCCCATTGCAACCTGGAACCAATAAAAAGGTTGCTAGTGCGGAATTTAAATCCAAGCATACCCGACTGGGCAACACTTGCTACCGAGTGGGATGCAAAAGAAATCAATAGGAACCCTAGAAGAAAAAAGAACAACTATTTGAAACCTTTACATGGGACTTCATATACAATTCTTTTTGTAGGAAAAAACAAATTCAACAAAATATATCTCTGGATAACAAAACAAAGAATTCCCAATTATTATAAAAGTGAAAATGAAACAAATGTAAATCACAAAATGTTAGTCACGCTTTGTCGGGGAAAAAAAGTGATTTTATTGTCTGCGTATAGTGCTTATATACCGTACCTGCATAGAAGGCCGGAGTAAAGTTTTGCAAATTAAATATTGCCGAGAGCAGTCGAGTGGGGTATATAAAGACTGGAATAAGCAAACACAGCATTATATGGCAAAGATGAAAATCGAGAAATAACTTGGTGTCAGTGGAGGTATGCATGTTTTGGAAGTTCTCTAACTGCCAGAAGTTTCTATTGGTGCACTTGTGAATGATCCAATTTTGTGTTAAATAATTAATGTCATTATTGGTGTTTATTATGACTACTAAATTAATCCTGACAAATTTTACCATTTGAAATAATAAAATAATTTATTATTAGTTAAATTACTTTTTATCACAAAACACTTCTGTTCCACTTTATAAAAAAATTTAAATTACTCCCAGGGACAGAATTCTGGAAGTGATTACTCCTTACAGAAAAAAATAATTTGGAGAATCATATTTGTTCATACTCAATGGTGAGAATGATAGAATTGGGATACACAAATATATATTCTGATAGGGTAGGACTAAGAGTCATTTTTCACTAAAACAATTAAATTTTTCTAACAGGGTAGTTGGTCTTTGGAATAGATAGCCCTAGGATGTGGCGATTGCAGCAAAGGCTTGAGATATATATATATATATATATATCTGAACGATAAGGGCTTACCAATTTTATGTTTTGTGGATGGGATGACCGTAAGGCTAAATGGGCTAACTTACCCCTTGTTGCCCTTGAGCTTTGTTTGGCAGTGTAAGACCTAAATTTAATGACTAACTCTTTACGATTAGTTCACTAGTCCAAGTAGTTATAACTTATATGTTATACTTCCAATAACATTAACAAATCATTTAAAGTTAATTAGTAGTAGTACTTTTAAGTTCTAACTACTACTTAAAATGTTAAGACTCGTAACAGAGTACAGAAGTAGTTTTGTTTTTGACTTGTAGTTGTATTACTTTCAAGTTTCTAGTTGGATAATTATACTTCATAACATTATACTACGAGTCAGCCAATAAAAACGTTATCATATAAATATGCTAAGCGGGCTCATTCAGCCAGGCAACCTACTTGAATTTGTAACTTATGGAGTTAAAATAGGCTTAGCTATCGGCATTACCAAATTTGGGTAAGCTTTATAACAACTTCGTTTCATACTTACGTTTGGTACATAAAGTTGGAATGATTTTAAAACTAGTTTCTTGTACTTTTGATAGAGAAACGGCAGGTTTAGCCGTCTTTAAAATACAAGAACAAGTCCTCCCCAATACGTTCAACATGGTTCCACCTTCTGCAACACTAAACTCACAACTGCACCAGTAGCAGAACCAAATTAGATCGTGTCCTTTAGCTCTTTCGGAACACTGGCGCTTGATGGCGTAGCCAACACAACTTCTCATAAATTCCTGGTATTTTTTGTATTATAAGAATATGTAAAATATATTAATTACAGAGTGAAAACTTATCTTCCGTTATGAATACAATAATTTGATATAAATAATATTTATTCACTATTTGGAACAAGAACCGATTTTGTATTGCATTCATTGCATTGTTTCTAAATTTAATTAAATGGCACATAATATGCTGTACCAAATATTACATTTAAAATATGTAATTTTTTACGAAGTATTTAGCAATTTTTTTTTAATTTAAGGAAAAAAATACTTTTTTTTTGTTATGGCGCAAGCTTCCATTTTGCGTTATTGGAATGTTTAGTTCTATTTTCATTTAGGGTTTATGCTGGGTTGGTAACGCCTGTGCGTTTATCTTTAAAAATAATTTGTTAATTTACAGTTGTCACTTTTCCTTAATTAAGGAGCTTGAAATATTTCAACTATATTTCGTTTATGCAATTTACTGCAATTCATATAAAATTTAAAATTCTGTTTTATTTTGTGACTAGTTAGTGTACTCTGTCAACTCATGAGAAAAGCATAGGGACTCGCACGGGTGAAATGGGGAGTTAGATCCGAACACTGACTCCCTAGGTCACTCCCTGGGAGATCTTAATTCCTCAGGAAATATGACACGTCAGGTGGCAATGGGTCCATCGAATCTTCAGTTATAACTGAACACAAAAGAGGGCAAACTTTATAATTAGATGTTTCAGAATAGTCTCACTCCATCTTCAGAAAACACTGAAGCAAATACAGAAAATAAAATAAACTCAAAATTATTTACAGTAGTGTAAAAACATCTATTGGCCTGGTGATTAGGTCACTCGACCTTCCTTTTGCAGGTCGTGGGTTCGACTCCCCTCGCCGAAAATGCACGCCCTTTCAGTCGTGGAGGTGCTATCATGTAATTCTAATTTCCATTATTCGTTCGTAAAAGAGTAACGCAAGAGTAGGCGGCGGATGGTAGTGTCGTAGCAAGGAATTATGGCACCGGAGCAAACCCAAAATACACCGTTTCCTCCTTTGATGCACTGTATATAAGCCCCCTCTCACACACACGGTAATGATGGGTGGTGTTGACTAGCTGCTTTCTCTCTAGTCTTTCACTGCTAAATTAGGAAAGGTTACATGGACAACCACTGGAAATACTTGGACAGTTGACAGCAGCCGACAGACACAACTATAAAACACTGGTGTCAGCTCTAGAACTCAGGT